ATGTTGCAACTGTAAAGGGTGAGAAGGCTCTCTAGTTCTAATATAATCTCTATGAGGTGTTGTTAAAATAAAAGCAAGGCGCACAACATGTATACTGTGTGCTATTATTTGATTAAAAAAGAATAGAAGATCCCTATAAACATTTGCTTGTAAACGCCTAGAAGAGTTCTGGCAAGATACAAAAGAATCTGGTAACCGGAGCTGCCTCTGGGGAGAGAGAAGGAATGCCTGGAGGGGAAGAGAGGGAGGGAGACCTTACTCTGACATTCTTTTGCACCTTTTGAGTTTTGAATCATGTGACAATATTACATATTAAAGAAAACAATTTAAATTTTTAAAAATTTAGGCCAAGAAATAAAAATAAAGTATATAATGGACTAGCTACAGAAACTGTAAAATACCCCCCAAATTTATAAATTCAGTTGAGAAAATGCCTTAAAATATGGACAATAAGGACATTAAAACCCACCCATAGCTTTCACATTCAGCAGCCAGGCCTGAGCACAGCATTAAGCCTTTCTGTCAGCATCATCTGTTCCCTGCACAATACCAAGGGCAAGATAACTGAAGGTTTTATTTTCCTAATCTGATTAGGATTAGCAGTCTTCCACTGATGTTATCTAAATTTTTTGATTTTTGATCAAGAAAACAACAATTGTGGATCAATGATACAAGTTACACCCATAAAATTATCAGAAAATAACAAGGAAATTTCCGGTCATGAAACTAATTAAGAAAACAACATTTAGGAGATGGCCTATGCCCATTCAAAAAAAAAAAAAAACACTTTTATTGTCTTTATGCCTGCTTCCTCTGGAAAATGTTTTCATTATGAAAATCAGGAGGTACAAAGTGACTCTGAGATTCCAGTCATCTTAAAATGATGAGGCAAAATTTAAAGCCGTAAGATCATCAGAAGAACAAACAGCACTATTGTCTTGTCTAACATTGCCATTAGAATGTAATGCTTTTCTTCTTTTCAGCTTGGGGTCCAGTATGGGATTTTGTGTATGCACAGCAAGCACTCCAAGAGTCCATAGAGACCCCAGTCAAAGCAAAACTGTGTGTTTCTGTTAATTAAAATATGACATGGATACCGGCTGAGCTATGCCTCCTGCCCCAAACATGGACCTCCTGGTTTGCCCAGGGTCCTGGATCCAGTGCCCAGTGAAGCCACTCCTCCCATGCCCTCTCTCTACTTCTCTCTGCCCCCATCCAGATTCCCACTCTGTCATATCACTATGTTAATCTGGAAAAGTGACTTGCTTTGTTCTATAAGCAAATCTTGCCTAATCTGTCTGGCTCCCACAACTGTGTTTCTTATCAAAGTAACCCCAGTGACCAAGGAAGGTAAATTTATATTGTCCTTCTTACTGTACCCTCAAACCTACTCACCAAATACTCCACAGCCATAAAAATGAATAGGAAAAATAGAATTAAAAAATGCTCTTTAGGTCCTGATATAGAACAGTCTCCAAGGTGTTACAAGAGGGACAATGTTTACAAATAAGACATTTGTTACATGTTCTATCTACTTAAATTTTATATCCAATTATATACGTCCATTTAAAAAAATAAAATAAAATAAATACCACTCCACTCCTTTACCCTGCAATCTTTATGTAAAGTTGAAAGCCCAGAAAGATACACCAAGTTTATTCTGTGGCTTCCAATAGCCCTCTTGACATTGTCCCTACATCTTTTGTGGCCCAATTTGAGAAACAAACTATTGCTAACAGGGCTCTTAATTCCATCCTCCAACGATTGTTGCCTTAGTAATATATTTTCCTCCAGTGTTCTCTAAACTCTCATTCTTATCTATGCACTGAGTCCCTCTTCCAGATAAATTCCAGTCATTCCACCCAGCAATCCTTGTAAGACTTTCGAACCCACAGTTTTGCTGTGAACAGAACCAGAAACCTTTCTCATGTCCCTTGGCAACCTACATGTCTCAAAGACTTCCCCACAGAGACTTGAACTGGTTTTACAAGCAGGAAGAGGATCATCTTCCTTACTCGCTCTGATTTGTCTAAATTTCTATTCTGTCACCAGGCAGTTTTTCCCTCTGCCATAACACAACTGCCTCGTCCTCATTGTTGCCCGTTTGTAAAAATCCCTCAGGAAAGATGACCTTCTTTGTGCCTTCTTACATTACGCTCTGGTCGAGTTCTCACCCTCCACCGTGGAGATACAAATCTCGCCACCATTATGTGAAATATATTGAAATATTCCCACATTCTTCCTGTCCCACTTCTTTTCCCTTGGATGACCCAGTTCACTATCTTCAGATCTTCCTGAAGCTGTGTAAGCCCTGGGCTCAACCCCAGGAAACCCTTGATTCCACTGGAAATCCTCGCATTTTGGCAGACTGGCAAGGAGAGGGCTGCTGGGGACTTCGGTAAGGATTTGCTTCCTAGTTTCACCATGATTCCTTGCTGCCTGGCCTTCACAGCACTGCTTTCTATTTGTCGAAGCCCTATCACTCTAAAGGAAGCCTGTACGACGAGCTGTCTGTCCTGCCCCTTCCTCACTATAGTCTTTGTCCTGTATTTGTTACACGGGCTGATCTAGAAGCCTGGGGAGTCTGAGTGGGCTGACAGGTAAACAAGAAGCTGGCCTAGAGGTGGGGCTGAGACTCGGGTGAGGTGAGTGAAGCAAGACTTAAGATGAGTCATGCGAGTTCAGGGGCTTTTATTTAAAATTCTACCTTTATTTAAAATGTTGATGTTTTGTTTGTCATGAATTTTTGCACATTTATTTTGAGTTTTAAAAATACCGCATTGTAATATTATTTTAATATTATCCTGATTACTGAATTTTTTGATGCTCCGTTAACTTTCGTGCCTGAGTTGAATGCCTGACTCTCTTTACTCTAGTCTGGACCCTTCTGGGGTCCATCTCAGGGAACAAGGCCGCTTCACAAGCTTGTGATCTGTGCAGTCATTCAGGGTTCCAGCTCGGTTTAGTGTTCCACTGTATAAAAATTCTCAGTACTTGCTGAACAAAAGGCCTTGCATTTTCATTTTGTATTGGGCTCTGCAAATTACATAGCGGTCCCCATCAGCTAAGTCAATTTAAAATCTATTGGTGAATCAAGCCCTATGTTTTCTTTCTCTTCAGGGAAAATTGCAGTTTCAGCTCTGATTCTAGAGCTTTCCTGGTTCATTTTGTCATTCATTCAATTTAAACCAACAACTGGGCTCTGTTTTCACAGTGTTTCCTGGTGTTACCTCCTATGAGAAACAATGTTTGGCCTTTCAGCTACGTCGTGGGGGGAAAACGGACACTGCTTCTCTCTAGAACTCTGTCGGGGAGACTGGCTTGGTTCTGTGATTCATCAGAAATAAGAAAAACAAACAGTGTAAATGGAGAACTTGAAAAACAGGTGGGCACCATCTCCCCACCCAAGAGAATGGATTTAAGAGGAAATTTGTTTATGGGATGAGGTTTTAAAAGGCGACCTGGAGAATTTAGCAAAGATGTAAATAAACAACGAGTCTTTGGATTGCATTAGGCTTCAGAATAAATATATTAACCAGCTTCAGTCAAAGTTGGCCTCGATTCTGACCCTGACAAGACCCAGTGGCTAGGGCTGTCGCTATCCCACCCTTCAAACACCAGTCTTCTCTGTGGCAAGACGACCTTAACAGGCATCCCAGCTTCCTTCCCACAAAGTGAAGGTAAGCAGAAGCCTATCACATTTCCTTTGTGCGCTGTCCTCTTGCTGGCCCACCCTGGGAAGCCTGCGGGCAGTTAGGAGACACCAGCCTTGTTTTAATATGGTATAGTCATCCATAGCTAGATACAAACACACATCTATTGCCCACCAGGGGTACAGAATTGCTGTGTTGACTGCAAACAGCCCAGGTCTGTGGTCAGTTCCCATTATGTGCAGAAACAAGCTGATGCATTTAACCCAGGCCACCAAGGAATGTGTAGGAACCCAGCAGGCGACCTGGAGCTGGCGGAAAGAAAAGGGATGTGCTCCATGGCCCTCCTCCTGGGTTGCCAGCATCCCTACTGGGAGGAGGGAAGGGGGATTTTTTTCTGCCCTCACATCTTCCTCTTCCTTTGTCCCTTATCCAGCACCCAGCCTCCTTTATGAGAATTTATGAAGCATTTCCACAGTATGATTTAAATTATTATTTCACACATTTAAATACCTTGCTACAAAGACCACACAAAAAACATGTAGCTCATAGCAAAGCAATTAAAATATTACCAAAAGGTGGTTGAGTACAGCCTTTCATAGTACTTGGACCGAATTTTAAGCATAAAAAAATTTTTTTTGCATTCCCTATCTTTGGCAGCCTAACTTGTAGGCATTAAAAAAACATGCCTGATTTTCTGAAAATAGCTACTAAATCCCATACAAGCTACCATATACTGGGCCAGGCAATGCTCATTCTATAATAAAAGAAGTACAACATTCTTTTGTCAGCATTGAAGGGGGAGGAAATAAACAAGGTTCTTCCTTGGGGAAATCACTGTGCTAGATGCTTTATAAATGTCACATTATGTAAGTCCTACAAACATCCTACACAAAGGGCATCATGATGCTTATTTTACAGGAGGGAAAACTGAGTCTCGGAATGGTTGAGTTCACAAATGCCAAGTGGTAGTGCAGGCTTCACATTTAGGTCTGTACTTTTAAAAGTTTGTGTTCCTTCCCTTGTGTCATGCTCCTCCCTTTTATTTTTTTTTTCTGTTTGATTTTAGACTGTTAAGGAAATTTAAAAAAAAAAAGACCCCTTACAATTCTACTATTTTATTCTATAGCAAGGACCCTGAGATATTTAGTGCCGGGGAGTTACCATGTCCTCTGAAGCCTTTATGCTAGATGCAGTTGTCAAGGGGATCTTTCCAGGAGCCTCTGGCATTTCAAGTAAAGCAGTCCTTCTTCAGAAATAAATATAATAGTTGTTAACCTTCACTGAGCAGTTACTATATGCCGGGAGCTGTTCTGGACTCTCTGTGTGGTCCCATTTAATCTTCACAATGCACATCGAGGTAGCACCACTACTACTGTTGCTACTACTATTCTTCCTAATTTACATACAAGTGAGGAAACAGATTTAGAGGTGAGGAAATGAACTAGGCTAAAATGGACCTGCCCACTCCCAAGCCTGGGCTCAGAACCACTGAGCTGATGTGTGCCCCCATCTACACCAGAAGGTGAGATTTAAGATCTCTTCCAAACCAAGACAAGCAATGTCAAAGGTCAGTGAGATCACAGCCACTTAAGGAGAAACCTGGGTGACTGAGATCTTCCTAGGACAGGGCATTTTTGCTTTAGAGTATTTTTGCTTTAATCAAACAAGAGAATGATGAGGAAATGGCTGATTATTAAAAACAGGCAGGGGGGGCATATCCACCAGGAGAAGTGGCTATGTCATTGTCATCAGAAAAAAGAGTTTGAAAGGTAACAAAGAAGGTATTTGAAAGTTGGTGGCTTCAGGGCTCAGCCGGAACATCACTGTAAATTATACCATGATGGACATTTTCGTCCATAAAACTTTGTATGTCTGATTGCTTCTTGGAATTTAACCCCCGCCTCCAAAAAAATTCAGGGGGTAAAGGCCCTCATTATAACATTTCACATTGATCCCTACTAGTATTGATATACATGGATGGTCAACTGCATTCAAGTTTAGATTTTTTAGGAGCACAATTTTCATTCTCAAACACTACTGAATTTTCGTCTGGACAGCACAATATAGGATGAAAAGTCAGAAGTGTGAGCTCAGAAATCAGGCTGGCTGTGCCATTTACCAAGCTATATAGCATACCTCCTTCAGTGATGACATGGGAATAGTAAATACTCATATGTCCATTGTGAGGGTTAAATTCTGGTAAGATTTATTAAATGCTTAGCATAGTGCCAGACAGAGTAAGCATCCAGTAAATGTTAGCTATTATTATTCTTATCGTTACTAATACAATTATTTAATTTGCAAATAACAGGTAGTATATTTCCTCAACTCTATTACTGCTTGTTGGCAGAGGAATGAAAATGGTTACAGCTTGCTCCGTTTCTTGATTTAGTTAACGATAGAGGGTGGCAGATCTTGTTTAACAGGAAAACCGTAACTGAGGGGGGAACTGTTTAATATACATTGCGGGCACCTTCATCTATGACTTCTGAAAATTAAGAACCAGTCACAACCAACACTTCAAACTGTTTGACTTGGTTTAAGGGAGAGTTTTATATTGAAAAGCTGGTAAAATGTTACAGAGTCGTAAGACAATCATGTTCCTCACCTGTTTCTTAACTTAAGTCTTTTACTTCCCTTTAAGAAAGCAAAGATTGTGTGTTGTTTGCTTGTTTGTTTTAACCTACTGAGGTGTGGCTAAAAAGGAGCTACGGTGCTGGATCCTAAGAGGGTTAAATTAAAATGATCAAAACAAAAAAAGTGAAGATTATTGGGACAGGAGACGTTAGTGGTAAGAGTAGCAACCTCCCAGGCTTCTGGGCTGTGTAGCAAAACTAAGATGTGGCAGGAAGTCAGGTACCTGAAATTCCAGCATGGTCTTCCCCATGTTTGACTCCAACATGTAGTGATAGGCTCCGATGCTGGTGCTGGGGTCATCTGCATCATCCAAAGTGCCCTTGGGAAGGAAGCAGAAAAGGAAAGTATTACAGAGTTTTCCTCCTCTTCTTTGAGTGGTCTTGAATTAATCCTGTGGCCGCAAAGCGAGCCTTTCATTGTCCTTCAGGTGTGCATTCTACAACCAGTTGATTGCTGATAAAATCCTTTACCTCATTATGACTTAGAGTAAGTATGATTTTGTCATCAATTTGAATCTAGCTTTTGATTAGAACGTTAACTGATTATATAATCGCTAAAAGAATAATTATCCCACGGCAGAAATCCCCATATCTCTCCACAGGGTTTTTGATGGTGGTAGCGTTAATGTTTGAGAGGCTGCCCTCTGAGGCTGCCTCCATCCGCTATTGAAATCTTGAAAAGCTGACCTTGCTCCTTTGGATTCCAATGATCACTAAGCAAATTATGTAGCTGACAGGGAAAAAAACTCTCCAGTTGTATGGACCATTCATATTTTACCACCATGATTCTTAATGGGAGCTGTTCATAATATGCCAGTGTTCAGCCTACAGACATAGATTTTTATATTTTTTTTCACTTCTGGACCACTTAATCTTTCAGAAACAAGGTGGGTGGGTGATGGGAAGAAATGAAATTCCTCTTCAGTTTGGTTAGGGAAAGTGGCATTAAAAAAGCTAACATGAGCACTGGAATGGCATTGGGGCCTGCCCTTCAATATCCCACGGCCTTGGATTCCTGGGAAGGTGGGCGATGGCTTTGTGAGACTGAACAAACAACTGCCAGCATCAGATAGCAGCAAATTTATAGCTTTTGAATGCAATAACATTAACACACTACTGCTGAAATATTTATGTTGGCTTTTTAAATATCCCAGAGGAAATCCATCCAGAAGCCTGCAAACCATATATATTCTCTTTCCTTAGAAATTTCCATGAAAAAATGATAAATTACATTTATACTGAGGGCCCTTCCCTGCTCCTGAGTAAATTCCACACATATAAATCAGGCATCATTTTCCTAACTCCTCTCCCTCAAAGGCACTTGAAATTTACAGGGCAGAAAAATAAAGGCTTCCTTTCATCCGCAGGGCAGATATAGAACAGAGCTCCCTGACATCTCTCTGCCAGGAAAACCACTCTCTGTCCTCTGCCTCTTCCCTTATCTCTCCCCTGTATGATAAGAGCATTTATAAGGGGAAGAGGAGCAAAAAGATCACTGCTAGTGTGATAATATCACCCCCATTATCAGCAGCTTCTTCAGAATGACAGAACCTTTAGAGTCAGATTAAGGGAATCAGAGAATGAAAATCTCAGATGGGGTTTACTTATGCTAAAGGAGAAACCAGGAGGTGGCTAATCCCTTTGGTAATGCCAAGTTCCTGCACTTGGAGGACACCAGGGTGACACCTGTCCCAGTGAAGACCCAAGGCTTCCTCCATGGCTTATAGTTTGGAGGTATAAGGATTAGGAGCTCCAAATAATTCATGGGGCAAATCATCGACTCCTGGGTTGTGGAGAAAATGTATCATCTAAATGTCTAAGACAGAGTTTTTGGCTCTTTGCATTTAATTATGCCCATTACAGAAATTTCCAAAGCTCTCTGAAAAAAAAAATTGGTATTAAGCATGATAATTCTAACAGCTAACAAATACTGGACATATGACTTTTCCCAAATCTAGGCAGTCAGTGTTTCCTCATGCTGGCTAGGGAATCAGCCCTTTTAATAAGGACTTCAGGTGATTTTTATGATTAGTTAAATTTGGGAAAAATTGAGCTTCCTTATCTCTTGATTAAAGTACTATTCCACTGCATGCATTCTCAGGCCCTAAAAGAATCAATGCTCCCTAAACAGCAAATATTCAAATAAACAAATCAAGGTGGATCAGATTATCTACCTTGATTTGAAGCTTGATTAACCATGATCCAAGGAGGTTAAAGAATATTACTGAGACATGGAATAGGGAACCAGCTCCAAATTCAAGATTTCCAACCTAAGTGTTCTTTTTGCTGAAATTATTGATTTAATGGGTTAAAAATTAAACCTGAAGAATTCTTAAAGAACTTGTTCACATTAGTATCTCCCAAGATTCAAATGCCTCAGTATTCTCAGCGCAGCCCGCTCCTCCCTTCCCTAGTTGGTACTCACACTGGTGGAGGCAACTGCTTCCTGCACACTCTCCATTATGAATTCCTTGGTGATCCTCCGGGAGGGCAGCTCATTGAAGAGGGAGTTGATTAGGGCCACTTTAGCTGCATCCCGTCTGGCTTCAGCTCTACTTAAGCAGCACTTAAGAAGGGAAGGAGAAAAGGAGTCATTAAAGGATTCAGCATCTCACCATTTTACCCTTGTCTCAATGCGTCTCTGGACATTTCTATTTATACATTTGCTGTCTGTACTTATTCTTTCATACCCATTGCTAATTCCCTGAAGACCATGAAGATTTTCTTTCAACCCTAGAGCCCATGCAAATATCTTGCTGGGTCTTCAAATGCTTTTTGCCTTATTTCTCAGTCATTGAATGTCTACTGTGCACCAGAGGCTTTGCATACTCTCTTGATAAATAATAAGAAAAATAATAATGGCTACTATTATGTGCTAGGTGATTACATTCATTATTAGGGTCTTCTTCAAATTGTTATTTCACTGAAAAAAGAAGTAAGGAAAGAAGGAAAATGGGAGAAAATTTTAACACAGTAATTAAGAACACAGGTTCTGGAGTCAGGACTCTTTGGGTTCAGATCCCAGCTCTGGAACTTGCTAGCTGAAAGACCTTGGGCAAATTAGTCTTTCTGTGCCTCAGTTTCCACCTCTGTAAATGGGAATAATAGTAGTTCCTATGTCACAGGGTGAGGATAGCCTCAATTAGTTAATACAGACAAAGCACTGAGAGTATCTGGCACATGGTAACGCTCCATGAGAACATCTCAGGCTTATACTTTCTTAGCTTCAGGTTAGGAGGAGGGGGCTGCCATCAAAATCTCTTATTTTAACTTTTCTAGCACTTATTCTTCACCCTCCTTCTAATAATAGTTCCCTGATTTTCCTGAGGACCACCTTTTCTACTTTGCTCTCAGTCTATGCAGTTTGGGTAGGACATACTCTGTTTGGCCTTCCAAAAGTTAAGGGCCATAGGCAGTCTATGATTAGTAACTCACAAAAAAATTCATTTTTCTCAAATGTAATATTGCTCTTCATCCTCCTAGTCTGGCTTTCCTGTGGCTCACATGGGTCTGCTCAATTTATCCTGAGTCTTTTTCGTCTTCTCTTTATCTTTTATTTCCAACTCCTCTTATTCAGTTTCTGGCTTGGCGTGGATCTGGGGGTGGAGGGTCAAGATAGAGGATGAAGCCCTATGAGAACTGTACTATCCCCTGAACCCACACCTGTTGGAGGATCTCAGGGTGTGACAGCCTCTCTGCTACAGGCTCCTGGGAACTGTCTAGGGTCCTACACACTACTCCAGGACTCCTAGTGGAAAACAACCCCCAGAAGAGAAGCCCAGTCCCAGGTCCTGGTCCATAGGGTGGCCATGCTCCCCTGGCTTTGCCACTCAGTGACTATGAACCTGGGATGCCTGAACTTTGGAGGTTATTTCCTCACTGGACAAATGGGAAGGCCAGACTCTCTAATCTCCAAGCCTCCTACTATCTAAAATGCAAGTTTCTCAGAATCAGTACTGTTTGGTGACTGATGTTGAGGAAGAGGAAAGTATCAAAGATCCCACTTCATTTTGCAGTTAATCAGCCTCAAGGGTTTGGTAGCACCACTGGGAAAAAGCCAAACCCTCCTTTTGCTTTTAGCACGTTCCGCCTCTACCTCATCTGCCCCACGATGACCATCCTTGACTGACCCAAGAACACTCCAAACTCATGCTCTTGTGTCCTCCAGAGGCTGCCTCTCCTCCCCCTCTCCACAAACCCAGTATGAGTCCCCCGAGGTCAGGCCCTGGCCTCCTCTGATTTTCCCACTGCAACCTCCCTTCTGCAACAGTTCTGACTATTAATTCTTCCTTTCCCTCTCCCAACCTCCAGGCCAGGCCAGGGCCTCTTATACATTTCTTGGGCGTCCTCCAGAGTGCCCACTCCCAGGGTCAGCTCTTGGAAGTGCTCACACATGGTTAGTATATAGGTGGAGTAATGACAAGACTTCTGAAATGGTAGGAACATGACACCTAGGAGGATGGGAAAAAAACGTGTAGGGAGCCTAAAAACCAGAACAATTAAAGGCAGCTATTTTACCTTACAATGCAAAGAGATTTCCAATATTTCCTTTAAATGAAGAGTGGAGCTAAAGTTCTAAATGTGTATGTGAGAAGTGGTTTGGGGTTTTTCTCTTTAGTGTTGAATGACAAGCTAGAAGGCTTTGGGGTAGCTTCAGGCAGCAAAGCCATTCAAATTTTAGACCATTCTCAAGATTCAGGCCACCTGCATTAAACCCAGGAGGGGGTGGGTCAGGAAAGTTGGGCAGATAGGTTGCCTTTGCATTATGCACTTGGCTGGGTATATACAAGACACTGAGTTCTGAGTCAGCAGGCTTTCACTGAACCTTGTATGCCAACTCTTCCATGAAGCTTTCCCTGACCATTCCTAATTGCAGGTTGTGAGGACCGCTGTTCATGAGAGGCACACATAATACTGCCATGTAACTGTCTGATAGTGCTCTGTGCCCTGACCCCAGGCTGTGGGCAACCTAAGGGCAGAGTCTGTGACAATCATCTCTGTGTCTCTATACCTGCAACAAAGTTTGTTGGATGAATAACTGAATGCAGACTAGGAAACTGAAACACAAGTCAGTAAAGTGCCTGACAAAATATTCAAGAAAACCTCTTAAAGAAGAGAATTCAAGATATATATTTATTACTTTAAAAAGTCCCATTTCAATAAACCCTTTATAGTATTCATAACCCAGTAATATAAAAATATTGTAATATGTGAATTGCAGAGGGAAAATTGGCCATTAAGTTCAGACACTCTGAGAGTACTATTTTTGCCTGAGTGTAGGAAATGTTTATTATTCTTTGGAAAATCAGTTCCCTGTTAAAAAGCAAACAAAGTTTTTGCAAATATTAACCTGACATCTGTAGGAACAGCTCATTTTAATAGGAATTTGCTGTATCAAATCTATAATAGAGCTGGTGAAGTTTAGAATTTAGAGAATTAGATTCAGATACAAGCACTCTTAAGAAACTTTATATAACTTTCTATCTAAATAATAGCAATTTAAACCATCTTTCATAGAGAGAGACCTAGTAAACACTACTTAGATAAAAGAAGCTATCTATTTTAAATAAGACCAGCTAAGTACTAGATCAAAGGCGCCACATACATTTACAACCAAATGGCACCGCTTCCGAGATCAAAGTGCTGCAGGGCTGAGAACAGAAAGAGCCTTTACCCAGAAAGCATGGAAAAGGACTATGAGACATAACCAATATCAAGATTTTAAAGGAGACACATGTCTTTAGTTATTTTATTGTTTCAATGTACAGAATCTTTGGTTAAAATTGGGGAGAAAGTGTACCAATTAATAAGTACATAAAATAAAATAAATTCTGAGCCATCAAAGGCTTTCTTGCTATTGTTCTTTGCATTTCTGAAAGACAAGTACTTCAAAATGTCTATAATACTAACCAGCCGCTTGCTTTTACATTTTGGAGCTACAAATCCAAGCCAGTAAAGCTGCATATTTTCCTTTAGGGATCTTTTAATGGGACCTCTCAAACCATAAGGACCTGTGCTTGGGCAAGAAATTTAACCAAAGGCAATCTACTCGGCAAATCTAAATCAGCATGTGGAGTCTGCTGTAAGAACAGGCACTGTTAGAGTTACCATCAAACAGTGGGAAACTCTGCAAGAAAATAAAATATGGTAAGTGACAGGACGTTTTATTGATGTGTCCAAACCGGTCGTCAAAGACATCAGTTGGGGAGTGAATGAAGTATGATGTTATTTCAAAGCAACTTCCTGCTGGAATTAGACTTCCCAGGTTGTATGGTTTATTCTCGCTGTTTTTCAGCCAGACCCCAATCATAAATACAGATTTGTAAACCATGCCTTTTCCGCTAACCATTCTTGCTTGTTAATATAGAGAGACAACTTCTGTCCTTTGCACTTTGTGAAAGTGCAGAGCTGGAATATTTAATAGTCAAGATTTTACTAAAGTCAGCTGTGGATTTCTTTGGCATGTGGAGTCACATGCTTTTCAAGTGGCTAGCAGACCCCACTCAGACAATTATTTTGATGTTTAGATGACTTTCATTTGTTGGTAGATTAAAAACCACTATAATCATTTCAAAGCCTCCTGATTCTAATCTAAAATTTAAGCCAAAAAAAGAAAAAAAAGAAAAAAGAGCATGTGGCATTGCTCAGGAAAACTATTTAAAGGTGGTGGTCGCCAGCATCTGAGACAGCCCCTGGCATTCACACACTTGTGCGGTACCCCCGACACTGCACAGGGTTGGTCAGTGTAACCAGTAGAATATGGCAAAAGCTACGGTATGTCACTTTTGATGTTAGGTTATAAAAGGCCCTGTGGCTTCCATCTTGGTCACATTTGCTTTCTCTCTTGGAAAAGTCAGCTGTGTTGTGAGTAGTCCTACTGAAAGGCACATGTGGTAAGGAATTAATGCCTCCTGCCAACAGCCTTCTGAGTGAAATTGGAAGCTGATCTTTCAGACTCAGTTAAGCCTTCAGATGACTGCAGCTCCAACTGATGTCTTGACTGCAACCCCTGGGAGACACTGAGCCAGAACTACCCAACTAAGCTGCTTCCAGATTCCTTATCCTCAGAAACAATGTGAAACCATGAAAGTAAATTTTGAGGCAATTTGTTACCCAGTCATAGGTAGACAGTACAAAGGTTTTGCTCACATCAGGTAATTAGGAAATCCCTCAGCCCATCCTTGAGAGAGAGCTCACTAACAGTAATCCTCATTGCTGACCCTATGTGCTGGGCACTGAGCTAAGCACTTTATATTGACTGTCACATTTAGTTATTACCACAATCCTATGAAGTTGGTTTTGTTGTTATTCTTATTTTGCCCATGAGAAAACAAATGTTACATATCCCAAGGTCACACAACTAAAAAGGGACCAAAACAATATTAAACCCCAGATCTGACTTAAGAGCTCAGAGTTTTAACCATGACACTATTCTAGTTGTCACAGAAATGGTCACCCACCACAGACTAGAGAGGATACATAATTTGGCCAAAGTCTCATAGCATTCCCCAAATCAGTATAGATAGTACTTTAGCCCAGGTTCCCACTTTGATATTCCATGGGTCA